CCTAGGGACATTCGTGAGCATCCTTTTGTGCGGCTGCCAGTGGTGAATCCTGAGGACATCCCCAGACATTTCAGCGAACTTGGTTCCCTGCCATGTGATATGCTTTTGGATAGCCCAATGGATGCATACATGACAATGCGCAGTTTGTTTGCCAAGCCTTCGCTGACGGCTGAAGATGTGGATACGCTCATGGTGAAAGCGGATATATTGGTAAAGTACGCGACACACAAACTCGCACGACCAGATAGGAGATTCAAAGCTTGCACCCTGTTTATGAAACTCTCTTCTTTGTTTATGATATTTGACCAGCTGGTTTGTACAATTGAGCTTCTAGGCGACAAGATGGATACCGACAGATGGTGGCCTGCGTTTGTACAGCAGTTCCAAACGGACTACATCTTTCCTGAACACGTGCCGTCCCCCAAGTCAAGAATGCTGAACAGGCTGGTCAATCGACTGAGTTCTGCGTTGGAAATATATAAGGAAGGACGACGCCCGCCACTTGAGGAAGTAATTGATCTGAAGAGGGCCATTATTACCCACGCGTACAAAGATAGCCAACTGGCGAACCCCCTGTGGAAAGTCTGGATTCAGGATGACCATGAATTCTTTTCTTCTTGAAGAGATGTCTTATTTTCTTCCGCGCAGACGTCGGACGGTCAAAGGGAGCCCGAACAGTCATGATCCTCGCATGTATGCGGTAGACTGTGGTATCCAGGATGTTCCTCTTTGTATGCAGCGGCCTTGAGCTTTTCTTCTGAATTCCGAACGCCGTGAGTTCAGGACTACGGGAAAGAGGCGAAACTGTCTCTACGCGCGCGACTCGGTTTGGCTATCCGGCTTATCTGCAACTCGTGGTGGTGTTCTGCGAACTTGTGCTGGGTGAAAGTGAGTCTTCGGCCTTCAGGCATTGCTGCCCCTTGATGACATGTTACCCACAAGCTGCAAACCAACTGCTCCCACTTGCGCGTCCATGCTGGAGCACGGATGCAGTTGGTCTGATATCTCAGGCAGCAGCTGACAGAGAAACGCATTTGCCTGCATCTCCTCACTTTGTCGTTGCTTCCTTGCTATTCCGTGCTGGGAGGCATCTCTAATCGCCTTGAAGGAGAAGGGAACCGTTGCAACAGATCGTTATAACCGATTATTAAGCTGTATGCGAGCTGTCTTGGTAGTGACGATGCCATAGCAAGGGGCATGCCGAGCCACTGCAACGAGAAGTACGGATGGTGGTTTCTTTCCCCCCGTGCCATGTGGAGCTTCTGCGTAGGACGTACTAAGATGTGCTGGGCGCGGTTCCAAACTAGCAGTCCTTTAGTAGACTAAACGGTGTCTGTTGGTGCTGAAGTTTAGCGTTTGAATATGAAGCGAGCCTTCTGCTGCCGCTGCCTTTCCGCGCTCTGCGTGGAGACGAAGTGAAAAGAAAGGGAGACAGATGAACATTGTAGGTGATCTCTGTGAAGTCGGTACATCCACTTATGATTTTGCGCATGTTGGTTCTTGAGGGCGGAGGAAGTGTCTAGCAATTGCCGACGATTGTAGTGTTCGCGTGGCAGGGGGGCTTTAGTTTACTTGCTTCTGGTATTGCCTTGCGGCAGGAATTGTAGCAATGTGTGTTTCAACTGAGGACAGGACACGTGCTTCCACCAACAATACCAAGCCTCTGCGTATCTGTAGGCGAGTTCCGATAGACTGAGGAGGAAACAGCTGCACTTGGGGATTTCGATTAAAAGTACTCTGATTTTGTTGCGGCTCCGACTGGTGCACAGCTGGGACCGGCGAGAGTCGGCACGCTCAGACGCCTCGCACAATCTCAGAAAGTTGCATCCGTGCGCAATGCGGAAGTTCACATTCATGCGCTTTTAGCACAGCTGATTTGAATTATGGGTTGCTCATTCTCTCCCTGCTGATGCGGAGGGCTTCCAGAGGTCTCATTTTTTTCACAAATATGTTTGTGCCCAGTCTTGGCAGCTAACGTATCCGCAAGACTCGCGTTTAAGCTAATACTGGCTTAGCGGCCAACGCACTGGCCTAATCCGTCGGGCACTCAATAGCGCTGAA